ACCTCGCAAGAGAATAATCTCAAAGCTAGGATGACTTGTACGGACAACAACAACAACAACAACATCGTTTTCGGGCAGCGAGAGGCGGATTCTGACAGTGGAGGAAGTACCGTGACGATGGATTCGACGTTGCAGATGATGGGTCTAGGGTTTTCTTCAAATTCTTCTTCAGATTGGAGCCAGACCATTTTGTAAATTCTTAAAGAAAAACCCTAACTTTAATTTTTTTTCGTTCACTTACTTGAAGATCTTCAATAATATTCATGAGATCTCTTTTATTATTGCTTTGTGTTTTTCAGACAAGAAGACTTGAACTCAAGCTTCATAAGGAGCTCACAAGATCAAGATCATGGCCAAGGATTCTTATCCACAACTACTTCACCTTATATACTTAATCCAGCGTGTTCTTCATCTCCATCAACTTCTTCTTCCTCGAGCTTGTTACGAACCTTTTACGAACCCGAACCTAGTCCATACAACTTTGTCTCTACCACAAGTGGTTCAATCAACGATCATCAACTTTCTTGGGCTAATAAGACAAATCCTCATCATCAAGCTTCTTATGGATTAACTAACAACTTCTCTAACAACGCAAACTCTCGACCCTTTTGGAGTTCATCATCAACCACTAACTTAAACAACACGACGCCAAACAATTTTGTAACCACTCCGCAGATAATATCTACTCGTTTGGAGGACAAAACCAAGGTAAATTATAATCTCATATATGTCGAAATAATTTTGCTGTTATACAAATTTTGTGGCTAAATTATTGATTTTTTTTTTTGTTGAGAAGAATCTGAAGACAAGAGCTCAGAGTGAGTCTTTGAAGAGGACAAAGGATAGTGAATCTGCGGCGAAGAAACCGAGAGTCACCACGCCTTCACCGTTGCCAACTTTCAAGGTACATGATCATATTTCAAGATTTGTTTCTAACCTTTTATCTTAATTCAATTTCTTGGTATATAAAATGATTGTAAATGTAACAGGTGAGAAAAGAGAATCTAAGGGACCAGATTACTTCATTACAACAACTAGTTTCACCTTTCGGAAAGGTGAATGATTTATATGTTTACTTTATTTTATATGGCTTAATATATACAATCAAAAGCATTTCTTTTCCCTTGGTTATGTGTTGAGCTTCTTAATTAATTTTTTGTATATCTTTGGGTTAAACTTCAGACAGATACTGCATCTGTTCTCCAAGAAGCTATAGAGTACATCAAGTTCCTTCACGACCAAGTCACTGTACGTTTCTTGTGATTTCTCTCCTAACTCACTGAATTCAAGAAACCCTAGAAATTAGCAAATATTAAGCATAGTAATTTTTTTTGTAAATACAGGTTCTAAGCACTCCATATATGAAACAAGGTGCCTCGAGCCAACAACAACAACAACAGGTTCATTACAGTTTTATTTTTGTCCAGCTTGGAGTCTTCATGCTGTAATCATAATTATAAATTAAGGACTAATTGAGTATTGATTCATGTAGATATCTGGTAAGTCGAAGAATCAAGATGGAAATGAGAATCACGAACTAAGAGGACATGGTCTATGTCTCGTCCCAATATCAAGCACGTTTCCGGTGGCTAACGAAACAACAGCCGATTTTTGGACACCAACGTTTGGGGGCAACAATTTCAGGTAGTAAAGATGATCAATTACGTATATCATACGGTTCTTGATTAGCATTAAGATATTATTTAATAATGGTTAGCATAAAAATAAAAGAAAATAAAATTCGCAAGTCATGATCAAAGATTGAATCATTACTTGGAGAAAAAGTAGAGATGGTAGAAGAGGAAGTTGACTCTTCAAAGGTGGGCAGAGGCAACAATGGTGTTGGAGGGGACCAACTACAAAAGCAAGAATGATTTAGGGCTTAGAAAAGTTGGGATAATCTATCATAAACTAACAGGTTATATTAAAAGAAAAAACAACTAAAAAGAAACATTTATTATTTTATTATTCATGCGTGTTATTATATATATGTATGTAAAATTAACTTAAATTTGTTTTTTTTTTCTTTCTAATTATATATAGGTGATTAAAGAGAGAGGATTATGGTTGTCAAGACGGATGGGAACATATGCTAAATTCAGCTTGGAGACTCTAAAGCATAACAATAATTTTTATGTATTTTCTTCTTCTTTTTATTTCAATATTTTAAGGGAGGGTTTTATTGCTGAATTTAGCAGATATGGGTTGTTTTTATGTAGAATAACCTTTTGTTCCTGTCATTGTTCTTGAATATATATATATATACATATTTTTGCCGTTGGTGCCATCTTTGTTAACCATTTATTAAAGTTAAAGAACATAATAATTGGTGGTTTGTCATATGAACTTCTTAGTTGTTTTTATATATAACTGATATATTAACATAAACCAAGTTTTTTTGGAAATTTAATCGGAACAAGCTTTATCTTTAGAAATCCTATTTACATTTCTGATATACATGTAATTATGTTCGTACATATCCATGATAAATGTGTGTCCATGGATTCAACTTTTTTTTTTGGTCCGACTAGAACTATATATCTTATGAAAATTCAGTAGTGGAAGCCAGTAGATAAGCGGCCCACTGCTTCCTACTTTATGATTTGAATATACATATATGGTTTTAGTATAGATACCGATAAATATAATACTATATACTAATTTGACATTCAACATCATTCATGTTTACAGAAAAAAAGATTATTCATATCTTACTATAAAGACATGCATGTGTGTCTAATCTATCAAACGCCACTAAAAATATATATGCAAGAATTACTTACCAAGATCTCAATATCGATTAAATACTCAAGAAGTCTCATGCATGATTAGCCGATAATTTATATTGCATAAAAACCACGAATGTGTAAATTTATATATCATAGTACGTATTTACTAATAAAAAACAAACAATTCTCAGATTGTGCCCTATTGGAAATGATTTTTTCTTAAAGAGAGACCATTTTATAAATATGAAAACCCGAAATGCAAGAGTGCCAAAGAGCACAAATTTAGCAACGTCGCTCTAACTACAAGAAATACAACAGGTGGATAGAGGAACAAATTTTAAAACAGATCAAGGGACGATTGAGTTAGTGCACTTGGAAGTTGGCGAACCTAGAGAGAGGTAAGTGTCCTATTGGAAATGTTGATTTTCTCCAAATTACAAACCGAAGAACATAGCATGGAGCCAGACAGAATTAAAGATTCTAAAAAGTGAAAACAGGGTTAATTAAGGTCGGAAGTGAACATATATATGGAACGGTGAATCTACAAATTCAAATATACAATAACAATAAGTGGTGGTGAAGCCGTGAAGGACATTCGCAATATCCAAAATTATGGTTCTCGGAAGCATAAAGCAGCACTATGCTATATGCCTCCGGGCTCCGGCCATGGGAAAGAGGTCATTCCGCCACTAAAGGAGAACCGACCGCCAAACCCTAGCTTTCTACATTCAAATGTTTATTTTTATGAATGTTTTTCATGTTGCAACGTAAGATGATTCTCGTTGATAGAGAGAAGTTAAGAGTTTGGTAGCTACTCATATTCGGCTAAATCCTTTGTCTCGGGATCAACAAAAGTTCCCGTCCAGCCATAGATTTTTAGGATTCATGAGGTGTTTCGGCTCTTGCCATTGGCTTAATTTGTAACATGGATTCATGTAGATTTCAGTTGCTAAGTTTGTGAATCGAGTGACAACATACTAGTCTAAAATATTGGATATTATATGAGAAAGATAGCATAAACTCGAATAAATTTCAAATCAAATTAACTTCTACCTGAAAATTCGATTCACTATTTTCAACTGTGCATGGATCGATAATTAGAATCAATGTTGTAATAGAGTTTGATAAAATATGCCATGCGCCAAAAGAAAGGAGTATCATGTATAATGTAAAATGAATATAAAAGGCAAAAGAAAACATTATGAGCATAAATTTTTAGTCTTTTAGATGTACAATAAAGGACGAACAAGTTTCATCTTTTTTTTTGCTTTATGTGAATACAACAAGTTCTCAATATCTTCAGCTATAAGCTTTGTTTGATTGAAGCTTAAAAGCCTTATTCCTTTCTTCTATAAATAAAAATAAATAAATCACTTTGATTCTAGTATTGTTTAAACTTTCGAGAATCACAAAGACATACGGCTTATTTTCCTCCAAAGAGTTTATATATTCGCCACTTTTATGAATCAAAATATATCCGTTTTATATTAATATCCTTTATATTTTATTTGAAAATCTTTAAAGTGAAGGTTCTTTTTTTTGTAATTGTGTTTTTTTGTCGAAAAAACATACGAATGAAAATGCTCATATAGTTTAAGAAGTTTTTTAATTGTTCCCAAGATAAGAATCATAGAAGTACCTTTAAATTGTAACATGATGTTACAAAGATAACATTAGTATATATCTATACACATTATTACATATAAAATGTCACCAAAATTTACAAGAGTAACAACATTTTAAAAAACTAGTTTTATCATGAATTAATTAGAAAACGTTCCTTCTTTTTGACCGATAATTAACCACATGTTTACAGGAAAAAAATTTTGTTTTTAGATTAAAAATAATGTTCAATATTTTTAATTAAAACTCTTGATTATGCCTTTCTTTTTTATAGGAGTGCTCTTTCTTAAATCTAGTCCTCGTGCATGGGACTAAAAGTCCAAATTCAACCCTTATATAAGAAAATCACTTCCGAAATTTGGGGCAACCATATCAAAATATGAGTTGGTAGTATATATTTTGCAGAATATACTTTCCTTTCTTTTTTAATTTTATTTTTAAAGGTTTATTGAATTTGTGTTGGACTTGGTCCAATCAAATCCAAAATTGTATTAAACAATATTTGAAAACAAAACAATAGAAACTTGACTTCAATTGGTTTTCATGTAAGGAAAACTCGGAGAATTGAAAATGGAAAATAAGAAATCAAAATTTTCTAAAAACTTTTACTTATGGAAAACTTGAGTCATCGTGATTCATACCAAAATAGAATGCGAACAGAGCTTACCTTGAATGTTCTTTTCACTTCCATAGCCAAACCAGAACTGAGAGGGTAAAGAGTATCATCTAAATCTGTTTGATTAAAGTCAAAAAACAATTCCTTTAATCAGAAAAAAACGTTTAAACTTGAGAAACCATTTCTCAATCATCAAATTGCAATAAACTTATGTTAAAATTCAAATCCCAATCCTAAAAAATCTTCCTTTCTCTTACCAAATAAAAGACAATCATATCTAGCTTCAGAAGTTTGCTGAAAGTTTTCCTCATAGGACATTATGATCCCAAATTACACCTGGAAACAAACCCTTAAGCAACTGAATCTCAACGTTACCAACACACATTTCACATAAATCTGAAAACTTTAACATCAGATCCCATAGATTATACATCTAAGTCATTCACCAACAATATAAACATTTCTATAGATCAACATAAAACTACACTCTGAATCGAAATCAACCAGGGGAAAATAATGAAAATGCTAAACGTAAAATCGTTACTAAAAGAAATCGATCGAAACATACACGAACTTGCAGAGGAGAATCGAACAAAAGAATAATCAATGAAGAAAGTGAGAACCTTGCGGATGCGGGACTTTCAAGAGGTGATTAATTATTGTTCTCTTGCGGATATGGCATCTCAAGGCCCTCTATACACTTGGTGCAACAAGAGGGAAAACGATTTGATTCTAAAAAAACTTGATCGAGTAATGATGAATGATACTTGGCTTCAAGTGTTTCCGCAGGTGTATAGTGTTTTTGAGGCGGGAGGTATTTCCGATCATTTACGGTGCCGAATAATGCATATTGGAGGAGAAAATAAAAAGCTGCATGGCCGCAAGCCTTTTAAATTCGTGAATGTTCTCACAGAAATGGAAGAGTTCTTACCATTGGTGAATAACTATTGGCAAGACACGGAGCTTCTGTTCTTATCCACTTCAACTCTGTTTCGATTCTCAAAAAAACTAAAAGGTTTAAAGCCGCTGTTGCGGAGTCTTGCTAAAGAACGCTTAGGAAATTTGGTCAAAAAAGCAAAGGAAGCCTATGAAGTGCTTTGTCAAAGGCAGCAAGCAAATCTAGAAAACCCTTCGGAAGCGTTGATGGCAGCAGAAAATGAAGCATATCAGAGGTGGGATCATGTGGCTGGTCTAGAGGAGAAATTCTTGAAACAAACATCCAAACTACATTGGTTAGCGGTGGGAGACGGTAACAATAAAGTTTTTCATCGAGCAGCTGCTATTCGGCAGGCCAAAAACACTATCAAAGAAATTTTGTGTCAAGATGGTAGAGTGGTATTAGAAGAGGATGAGATAAAGGCTGAAGCTGAGAAATATTTTAGGGATTTTCTGCAGCTTATACCAAATGACTTTGAGGGAACAACGGTGGAGAAGCTACAATCTTTATTACCATTTAGGTGTTCTGAGGAAGACCAGCAAGTGCTCACTAGTGTGGTTACGGGGGAAGAGGTTAAGAAGGTACTATTCTCAATGCCAAACGATAAATCTCCGGGACCGGATGGATTCACATCCGAATTCTACAAGGCAACATGGGGGCTGATTGGTAAAGAATTCACTCTGGCGGTACAATCTTTTTTTGCGAAAGGTTTTCTTCCAACGGGTATTAACTCTACCATTCTAGCTCTTATACCAAAGAAAAAAGGAGCAAGAGAGATGAAGGATTACCGACCCATTTCGTGTTGTAACGTGATTTACAAAGTTATCTCAAAAATCATAGCCAATCGTCTTAAAAGGATTCTCCCTAAATTTATTGCAGGAAACCAATCGGCGTTTGTTCAAGATCGTTTACTGATTGAAAACTTGCTTCTGGCCACAGAACTCGTTAAAGACTATCACAAGGATGCAATCTCTACCCGCTGTGCGATAAAGATTGATATCTCAAAAGCATTTGATTCCGTTCAGTGGTCTTTCCTGAACAAAGTCCTCTCAGCATTGAATTTTCCCCCTACATTCATTCACTGGATAATGTTATGTGTCACTACGGCTTCTTTCTCGGTTCAGGTCAATGGGGCTTTAGCGGGGTACTTTAGAAGCTCAAGAGGGCTTCGACAAGGCTGCTCCCTCTCACCATATCTGTTTGTGATTGTGATGGACGTGCTCTCAAAAATGCTGGATAAGGCTGCGGAGAAACATCTTTTTGGCTACCATCCTCGGTGTAAAAATTTGGGTATTACTCATTTAAGTTTTGCAGATGATCTAATGGTTCTCTCGGATGGTAAAGTGCGCTCAGTGGAAGGTATCATTGGGGTCTTTGATGAGTTTGCAAAACACTCGGGTCTAAAGATTAGTATGGAGAAATCAACGCTCTACCTTGCTGGAATCTCATCATCTTCTACCCAACAACTCTCTGAAAAATACCCTTTTGATATAGGGCGCCTTCCGGTTCGTTACTTAGGACTCCCGTTGGTAACAAAAAGGTTTGCAACTGCGGATTATGCTCCTCTCATTGAGCAAATACGGAAACGCATCAACTCTTGGTCAGCTCGCTCCTTATCCTTTGCGGGTCGCCTAAACTAGATTTCATCAGTGTTGTGGAGTATATGTAACTTTTGGTTAGCTGCTTTTAGACTACCAAAAGAGTGCATAGAAGGAATTGAAAAACTTTGTTCATCGTTTCTCTGGTCGGGCACGGACCTGCAGCCCCATAAAGCAAAGATTTCGTGGGAGAAAGTATGTACACCAAAGCATGAGGGATGCCTCGGGCTGCGATCTCTAAAGGAGGCCAACAATGTAAGCTGTCTAAAACTCATTTGGAGAATTGTGTCGCAGGGAAACTCTTTATGGGTTAAATGGATACAAACCAACCTTCTAAAGAAAGCATCTTTCTGGTCCCTCAAAAACAACACGAGTATGGGTTCTTGGATATGGAAAAGCTTCTTAAGTATCGAGAAGTGGCAAAGGGATTCTGCAAAGTCGAAGTCGGCAATGGTGAGCTCACGTCTTTCTGGTTTGATGATTGGTCGCCGATGAACAGGCTGTTTGATACTGCGGGAGATAGAGGAATTATAGACATGGGGATCAGTCGACAAAGCTCAATAGCTCAAGCTTGGACTGGCCGCAGGCGGAGAAGACACCGTGCGGGCTACCTGAATTCGATGGAATCAGCTCTGTTATCGCAGCGGCAAAAAAGAACTGAGAAGGTAGATACAGTGGTATGGAGAGGAAAGAACGACATTTTTCAACCAAAGTTCTCGACAAAGGATACTTGGAATCACATTAGAACGACCTCAAACACTGTCTCGTGGAGCAAGGGAGTGTGGTTTCCACATAACACTCCCAAGTACTCTTTTTGTATGTGGTTGGCTGCCCATGACCGTCTTTCTACAGGAGATCGCATGATCCGATGGAACGGTGGAGCAACAGGTATTTGTGTCTTCTGTCAAAACTGTGTGGAAACTAGAGATCATCTCTTTTTCGCTTGCTCTTTTACCTCAGGAATTTGGAAGACTACTGCTAAGGGGATTCTCCAAGCACGTTTCACTACAGGCTGGTCACAACTCATCGATCATGTTTCAAATAATCAACGAGGCAGAGTGGAGAGCTTCCTAATTCGATACGCTCTTCAAACTACTGTTTACATGATATGGCGGGAGCGAAATGGTCGTAGGCACGGCGAGGATCAACACTCGGAACCACTCATCACAAAGTGGATAGATAAACAAGTCAGAAACCGGATCACAACTCTTCGACGTATGGGAGACAGAAGATACGACGAGGCGTACCAAATGTGGCTAGCTACTCGGAGCTAACACGTTCAAATTCTCATAGAATTCTTATCAGTTAATTTTTTCAACCCTATCTCAAACTCACGCCGCACTTCGTTGTAAAAACGTTTATTTTTTCTTTTGAATATAATTTAACATTAAATTCAAAAAAAAAAAAGAAAGTGAGAACCTTTTTGCAGATCAATGAAACTATTGTGTATCCTTGGGAGTTTGGTTTTAGTAGATTTTGATGACACATAGTTCTTATGGGTTTTAATGGTTTATCTAATTGTTTTCAAAAGTAAAACAACGATTTAAAACATACTTAACACATATAGTCTACTTATCGCCAAACCAAAGAAGAAACCCTCTAAACATATGTATTCCTCTTAACGCTGGTTCTAAGATTTAACAGATAATATAAAAGTTATCACGACTTTTTTCTCTATAAAAGTTACTAGGATTAACTACAACATTTTCGTGATGCATTAACAAAGTCGTTGTAGTATAGTGGTAAGTATTCCCGCCTGTCACGCGGGTGACCCGGGTTCGATCCCCGGCAACGGCGTTAACCCTTTTTTATGCCTAATTCATTGTAAACCCTCTGGTTCATTCCAAATGTTTCCCAACTCGCGAAGGTTCCTTGCTTATAAGACATTTGTTACACGGTCGTGCACTTTCTACAAAAATAAACGTCATAATCTGAAAAAATTACAAATAAATGAATAATTAGTTACATCTATACTAGCAGTCTACCTCAGAGAGCTGTAGTGTCTCATTAGTCATACAACTTCTTCTTTTTTCCTTTTCCTGCCATTGCAGAAAAAAAAAAAAAAACTCACGACATAAAAAAAGGAGACATAAAACCCTAAGAAGAGGTATATATGGTAGTCTTTTTCTTCTTCTTCTGATGAATTTTTCTTCGCTCTTCGTTAGGTTTACGCTAATTTTGTTTTTGTATCCCATTGCTAAATTTAAAACAGGGGATCTAAAAAGAAGAAAGGCAATCTGGAGGCAACATCGCACTACGATAAAGCTCTTGTCAATGGAGTTGTATACAGTCTAAATGATGATATATATGTTCAGGTACGAATAAGTGTTTTCATGTTTTGTTTTTTATTTTTTTTGGAGATGCTGCTTGGGTTCTGAGACTAAATATTGATTCTCATTGAAGAAACTTATTGAATTTAGGGTTAAGTTCTAATGTGACTGATTTATATAAGTTTTGGCGATACAGGCTAAGGGAGAACCAAATCGTATAGCTAAGATCATTGAGCTATTTGAAGGAGTAGATGGTGAAGGGTACTTCAGAGCTCAATTGTTCTACAGAGCAGAAGACACAGTGAGATTAATCGCATTTGTGTTGTTTTACTAGATTTTCTTGTCTCATGTTTCAATTTATTAATGCTCGCATTCTTTTTTTTTTTCCTTACTGTTTTAGGTAATTCAAGACCTTGCAGGAGAATATCTCCAAGAAAAGAGACGAGTTTTTCTTTCGAATGTCGAGGCGGACTATTCTCTTAATCTAATTGTATCGAAAGTACACATAATCAAACTTCCAGCGAAGGTACATGTATTATTTTTGAATCTTTAAAAGTCGTAGAGATTTTGCTTGAACTCACATATAGATTATGCAACTTTTCTTGTAACAGATTTTATTAGAAAACGAAGAGAGAGATATACCGGCCTGTGACTTTTTTTATGATATGAGATACAACCTGGAACACTTGACATTCTCAAGTGTAGACAATGGTATTTAAACTTGTGTCTCATGTTTTTTTCGTTAGATTTATTTAAGCTTTTATATTTCGTACGTATTAGTTTCTAGCATATGATTTACCCATTTTTGGTTTTATTATTGTGATTGTAACTTTTTGTAATGTCGTCCTATTAAAACTTGATGGGTTCCGTTTCCAGAAATATCCAATGTGGAGGGTAATGATTCAAACAATGTTGGTTCTTGCAACAAAGAAAAATATATGTTGGATTTATACTCCGGATGCGGAGCCATGTCAACAGGGTTGTGCATGGGTGCTTCACTCTCGGGTGTAAATTTGATCACTGTAAGTTTCTTGCTATGAAAACTTTGTGATGTTTATGATGTATATGTCACAATAATTTCATTTGCTTTATTAATAGAGATGTTATATTACTCTCCCTTTTTGCAGAAATGGGCAGTGGATAACAATAGTTTTGCTTGTGAGAGTTTGAAACTCAATCACCCTGAAACCAAGGTATATCTTTAGTGGTGATTATGTTATATAGTAGCTTGTTAGAACTATATTTATTTTATTATTAAATATCTATACATCTAATCATAACTTTGGGACAAATTTCAGGTGATAAATGAAAGTGCAGAAGAATTTTTGAGATTGCTGAAGGAATGGAGAAGGCTATGCCAAAAGTTTTCACTTCCCCAAAAACTGAGCCACTAGAACTAGATAGTGATTTTGAAGATGACAATGAAAGTGAAAATAATGTAGAAGGGGAGAGTGATGGATATGAAATGTCACCGGACGAGTTTGAGGTTGATGAGGTACTCTCCATTTGTTATGGAGATCCAAAAAAGGCGAATGCTTCGGTTAAAAAGGTTAAACCATCAGCACTTTATTTTAAGGTACAATTTTGTTGCAATTCTCAAATTTTACTCAGGTTTTCTTAAACTCTCTCTTTCTTTTTTAAGATTTTTCATTCATACTTCCATTTATTACAAGGACACACACATACACATACTTATACAAGTTTTCTTTCACTAGCTAGTAGCTACTCACTTACCCTTACTCTCTCATCTTACTTCTACAATCTAGATTCACTTACACAAGCAATCCACTCCATCATTAGACTCCAACCACTCTTAACTGTTCAGACCTAACACCCTCTTCTAACTTAGTACTTAGCTCAGACAACAACACACTCTTTCTTTTCATTTGGGCCTTAGTTTATTCGGAGCCCATTACTAAAAACAACCCTAAGCCCATAATCTTTTTGTTGACTTTTCTTCTTCTTCTTTGACTCCCTTCTTCTTCGACGCTTTTCTTCTTCTTCAACCAAGTTTCTTCTTCTTCTTCTCCTCACTGTAATTCTTTTGATTCTTAATCATCTTCTCTTTCTCAATTGCAGGTTCAATCGGAGACTCAACCTTCAACACTCCCTCTTGAGTTTTCGATTGTAACTCTCGATTCCAAGTTAGGATTTTGATTGATATCTTCCCTTTGCCACTGCTGGTTCCTTTTCGCTTGATCGGATGCGAGCTTTTCAAGACGTCGGCATAAGTCATCGGTGAGCTTGATTTCTCAGTCTCCCTCTTGCTCTCAATCCCAGTGGATTCAACGGCTTTTCCCTTTTCAATTTTTGTTGCTCCCTCTTGAACAATTCTCTTCTCAGTCTTGTTCTCGTTTGCTTCATTCTCAGTTGGACTCACTTTGATCTTCTTTTGCAGATAATCAGGATGGAAATTTATGTCGCCAAACTTGATGGCATAATCTGGATGAAGGCTCATGTCTCCAATCTTGATGACGTTCGTTTTTCCAACCGGAGGTAATCCCTTTGCTTCTTCCTTGTTTTTAATTTCACCCTTGCAAATGGTTTCCAAATTTTGAATTCCAAACCCTTTGAACTTTGACGCTTGCTTCTTTTTCTCTGTCTCTGTCTCTTGATCATTCTCTGCTTTCCTTTTGCAGATTTCTTCTCTAGTCCACTTTTTCTCCCTCTTAATCTCAGGTGAGCTTTCAATTTTCTCCACCGTGTCTCTGTTTAACACCATCTTCTTCAGATTTTTTTCTGGACTCACATCCTTGACTTCTCTAACTTTGTTTTCTTCTTTTCCAGTTTCAGAATTTCTCTGGTTCTTAACTTCAATCACTGATTTTCCCTTCACAGCTTTATCTCCATGCTTCTTAGCTTGATACATCACAGATTTGTTTTTGTTTTCAACATTCTTCTTAGTACACCAAGGTTGCAGCGTTTTTTGATTTGCAATTTTAGTGTCTCCAGCTCCTTGACAACATGATTTCACCTTTTCTTTTGCAGCAACCATTGTTGCTTCTTCATTCTCTGGCATCTTAAGATGATAACTCTTTTTGATCATTGGCACCTCAGCTATCTTCCTTCCAGCGGGATTATGAATGGTACAACCATTTTGATCAAAGTTAACTTCATAATCATTCTCAATCATTTGAGAGACACTCAAGAGATTTTTGGCAATCTTTGGAACTAGTAGAACATCTTTGATCATTCTCTTGCCCTTCTTTGTCATGATTTCAATGTCTCCCTTTCCCTTTGTGGTCAGAACAGCTCCATTACCTACATGGATAGGAACATTGAAGCTTGTGTTGAGGTTAATGAACAGTTTCTCCTGTGAGGTCATGTGATTTGTGCATCCACTATCAATGAGCCAGACATTTTCTTCTAGTGTTTCTTCATCTTCTTGTCTTGCTGTGAACATATGGTAGGTTTCTTCTTCTTCTTCTTCTTTTTCGTTGTCTTCTTGAGTAACTTGAGCTTGTTCTCCATTCTTGAGTTTGCAGTCATTTATTAGATGACCTACCTTGCCACAGCGGAAACAGCTTCTGGTTTCTCTGTTTGTGTTAAAATTCGGTCTGATTTTTCCACTCTTGAGCCAGCAAACATCTTCATTGTGATTATCTCTTTTACAGTAATCACACCACCTCTTTTCTCTGTAACTTGACTGACCTTGGTTTTCCTTATTTTTGCTCTTCATATTCAGATTTCGGAAATGTGCATGGAAGGCTCCTTCTGCTTCTTCTTCATCCTCAGGAAAGAATTTCTTCTCATGTGCCTCAAGAGATCCAACCAGCTCAGCATAGGTAACTGTCATTAGATCCTTTGTTTCTTCCATTAAAGATGACAGACCAGCATAACTCTTTGGCATAGAGGCCAGCATTTTCACTACTAAATCAAAGTTTGATTTTCCTTCACCTAGAGCCCTCATCTGATTTGCTACAGCCTGAATCCTATCAGAGTAAGCTTTAACCTTTTCCCCTTCTTTCATTTTCAGATTCTCAAACTCTCTTCTTAGAGACTGAAGTCTAACAGTTTTAACTTTCTCATTACCTTGATAGGAGTGCTCTAGCAGCTTCCATGCTTGATGTGCTGAGGTTGCTGAGAGAATCTTGTCAAACACCACATCTGCCACTCCATGTTGAAGAATTTGAAGAGCAGCAGTATCCTTAGCTTTGAGTGCCTTCAAGTTTGCAGCTTCTTTGGTCTTGTCTGCTCCTGGAGTCTCTGGTGACTGAGATCCCGGATCTGGAACTCCATCTTTTACTACCTCCCACAGATCTTTGTTCATCAGGGTTGTTTTCATTCTTGCTGCCCAGAACTCATAGTTCTGTCCATCAAAAACAGCAACAAGTTGTGAAGATTGCAAGGTAAGTGTCATTCTTCTCTTCTCTTCTTACGGCTTCTTCTTTGCCTCCTTATTTCTTCTTCTTTGAACAGGCTCCAAGATCAAGTGTGCTCTGATACCATGTTGCAATTCTCAAATTTTACTCAGGTTTTCTTAAACTCTCTCTTTCTTTTTTAAGATTTTTCATTCATACTTCCATTTATTACAAGGACACACACATACACATACTTATACAAGTTTTCTTTCACTAGCTAGTAGCTACTCACTTACCCTTACTCTCTCATCTTACTTCTACAATCTAGATTCACTTACACAAGCAATCCACTCCATCATTAGACTCCAACCACTCTTAACTGTTCAGACCTAACACCCTCTTCTAACTTAGTACTTAGCTCAGACAACAACACACTCTTTCTTTTCATTTGGGCCTTAGTTTATTCGGAGCCCATTACTAAAAACAACCCTAAGCCCATAATCTTTTTGTTGACTTTTCTTCTTCTTCTTTGACTCCCTTCTTCTTCGACGCTTTTCTTCTTCTTCAACCAAGTTTCTTCTTCTTCTTCTCCTCACTGTAATTCTTTTGATTCTTAATCATCTTCTCTTTCTCAATTGCAGGTTCAATCGGAGACTCAACCTTCAACAAATTTCCTTGGCTCTAAATGAATAGTTTCATTTTTCAATACATGAAAGTATAATTTAACTATCAACTTTCTTTTATGTTTCATCATTTTCTAGGTGCATTGGAAGGGATACGACAGTGAAGAGGAAAATACTTGGGAGCCATATGATGGATTGCGGTAAGTTTTTTTACATTATTGCTTTGACCTTCTCATGTTGTTCTCTAATCTGTATATGGTTTCATTAGAAAATGTAAAGAAAAAGTAAAAGAGTTCGTGACGAAGGGTTTCAAGTCAAAGTTATTGCCACTTCCTGTGAGTCATGTTACATATATAAATCCTCCAATTATTTCTGGTTCCCCACATTTTCGTAACTTTTCGACCTTGTGTTCTTTTAGGGAGATGTGCATATTGTGTGTGGGGGTCCTCCATGCCAGGGACTTAGCGGTTTTAACCGATTTAGAAATAAAGATAAACCACTTCAAGATGAAAAAAACAATCAAGTGACGGTTTTCATGGATATCATAGACTACTTGAAGCCCAAATACGTCTTGATGGAGAACGTTGTAAGTCTTTTAGGTTTCGCGAAAGGATTTGTTGGTCGTTATGCAGTAGCTCGTCTTGTAAACAAGAATTACCAAGCAAGATTAGGCATAATGGCTGCTGGTGCATACGGTGTTCCTCAGTGTAGATACAGGGTTTTCTTATGGGGTGCTCAACCTTCAGAGGTAAATTATATCTCTTCTTTTTTTATATTCTACAATATACTTAGATGTTATGAATTATGTGATCCTTACCGTTCTTTCAAATTTTGAAAAACAGAAATTGCCCCCGTACCCGTTGCCAACTCACAAAATGGCCACCACTAGAAAAGAAAGCGTCGTTCCTAAGAAGTTTAAGGCAAGTCTTTTTTATTCATTTTGACATTTTGGAAGAGTTTGCACTGTTACTTCTCACAATATTGCATAGCTTATGAATCTATTGTTATTGCAGGAGTTAAAAGTGGGAAATAACCGAAGTGATCTACAGTTGAAAACGGCTCTTACTCTTGGAGATGCAACAAGTGATCTCCCAGAGGTGTGTTATATATCAAACCCTCAAATAGTAAATAAATTTGTTATGTGATTTCATTTCATTTGAGACAAGCATCAAACGTTATGCCTAAATAGGTCCTTGTTGACATTTCTTTATGATACAGGTGACTAATTTTGAGGAAAGAGAAGCAATAAACTATGACATAGAACCTGAGACAGAGTTTCAAAAGTTTATAAGTCTTCCAAGAGCTGGTGAGCTTCTTGAACTCTGTAGAATTGGCATTACTATATATCTACTTTTATTACAACAATTACTGACATTCTGGTTTTAGATACACTAATCTCAAATGGTGAAGAGGAATCACAGTTACGTATACTTTATGATCACCAACCTCTCCAAATGAATAAAGATGATTATCAGAGGGCTTGCAATATAAGCAAGAAGAAGGTACAAGTTGTAATATCATAATGCATGCTTTAAGCACATGGTTTGTGATATCATTGTACAAATCTTATTGCTCAAAGGGCGCCTACTTCACCGACTTGGGAGGTGTCGTATTTGAGGATAAAACAGTGCGAATTGACCCTTCTGTTGAGAGAGTAATACTGCCGTCTGGGAAGCCTATGGTACATACAAATCCATGCCCAAACTTATGATCTTTTTCCAGTTCCTTTTTCTTGCACCTTTTACATGACAAATTATGTTTTTTTGCCCCAGGTACCTAATTATGCAATCACATATAGAGATGGAAAATCTAAAAAGTAATGTTGTCTAACGATATGTTCCCATAGACCCCATTTAAATTACCTTTACTCACTAAATATGATCATATATTATATGAAACGCAGGCCATTTGGTCGTTTGTGGTACGATGAGATTATTAACACGGTCGTGACAAGAGCACAACCTCACAACCAGGTCTGGTCTTCTTCTATATGCACATTTAATCTATTTTCTTGGTCTCTACCTTGGTACTGAATTTCTTGGTGTATAATTAATACGGGTAATTTTTCTACAGTGTGTACTTCACCCAAAGCAAAACCGAGTTCTTTCAGCCCGCGAAAATGCAAGACTACAAGGATTTCCTGATTGCTATAGGCTTTACGGACCTGTTGATGAAAAGTAAGTCCTTAATATTCTTCCTTTCATGTTACATCCATAAGTTTTTGAGATGTGTAAAATGTTTCTCTCTGTATTTTGTGATTCTGACAATGAACTTGGTTGATGTTACAGGTACATCCAGGTTGGGAATGCTGTTGCTGTTCCAGTCGGGGTTGCCTTAGGATATGCGTTTGGGATGGCGAGTCAAAGGTTGTGTGATGATAAGCCTGTCATAGACTACCCTTTCATGTATCCTGAATGTCTCAAGAGAAAGGAAGATTCTGATAGATTTAAGGATCCCAATTCTATTCATGAAGAGGAAATTGAGGACTAAGGGGAGAAAGGCGAGAGTCTGGGAGAAGAAGAAGACTGTGGAAAGTGGCTAAGGAGTATTGAAGTTTTGTGATATCAATAAGCTTATGCGTTTAAGTCCTTAAGTTGTTTTTAATAGTAAGTGTTTTTTAGTCACAAAGATAAAGGACAAAAATATTTTGAGAATCTAAATTTTAATTAAAAATGTGCGAAATGGGACTACAAGTGAATGAAACAAAGAATTATGTTAAGCAACGAATTTGAAAGGGACTAATCAGAACCTCAAGTTGAGTTAATAACCAAAATACAATGTGTTCTTTTACAAACCATCGAGATTGGGCTAATTTGTTTTTAAATAAGTGGAAAACGTTAAAAACGGATTAGAGTCAGAACAAGTCTAGACTGTTGAGATTTAATCATAAGATAATTAGAATGAACCACCAGAAACATATTTCTCCACAGACAAGAAACGTCTCTCTTCTCTGAATCGTCAAGTGCATAAGAAGAGTATATATCAAGTTCCTTCACGACCAAGTCATAGAAAATATATAAGTTGTGACAAAATAATCAAACCGAAAAATTATTTCTTTTTACTTCACATTTTACCAAAAAAAAAATAATAATTTAGCGTGAAGCCCACGTGGTTTTTTTTTTCTGGGCCCCACTTCTCTCTCCCCGTATCTTTCTTCATCTCCTAAAACCCAGAACCTTCTTTTCCCGGCGACCGAAATCTTACTCTGCCCTAATTCCATCGCTTAATCGATGAAATAATGCTCCCGACGTTTAACGCTTTAAAGATCATCTCAAAAACCCAACCTTTTGCGTGTTTTCTCTCGCCATGACCCTAATCTCAAGGTTCGTCTCTCTTCTCCTATTCAGGATCTCTCTTGATTTCTAATCCGATTAATTTTGACTGCCCTTTTAGCCGGAGATCCTTAAATTGATTCCCATGTTTAAAAATCGAACCTTTGTTTATAAAGTTGTGAACTTTTTTCTCCAAAGTCTTCGTTTGATTAAGATCTTTCATTGGGTGGTTTTGGTTTTGTGTTTTTTTGCAGATTTTTGATATCTAGAGTGATTAGTAGAACTCTGTTTTCGAATCAGAATAATAGAACAGCTATTAGGGTTTCTGTTAGGTTGCCACAGTTCAGAATTCAGAGTAATGGATATCACACATTGGGTCTTCTTCATAATGTTAAAGGAAGGTTTTTGAGTAATCATCATGTCGCGCGGAGGAGCTATTCGATTGCATCTGCGAGTAATGTAGTTAAGCAACATGCTCAAGTCTCTTGGGGAAGGCTTCTACAGAGAGTAACTTTGAATCGTAGTTGGAACTTACCTCGGATTAGTCAGATTGCTCAAGCGTTTAGCTTGTCTTTAGCCCGTTCGCACTTGTTGTTACCCGGTTTCTTGGCTCTTACTTGTAGACAAGTGGCATATGCGCAAAGGGTGGCTCCAAGTCCTGTCATTTATTCTCCTTCACACGTTTCTTCTTATAGGCGTTCGATAAACTTCCCTATCATTATCTCGTCTTTATTGTTTTCTGCGGTCAAAGGTGTTGTTCTGATTGGGAGAGCTCTCTATTTAGCAGTTTTGTTTTCTCCAAATGTTATAATGGCGTTGTTAGGATTTGCGTGCGGGCCTCGTTACAGAAAGCTGCAGTATGAGGTCCTCCATCGAACTTTGGAAAGAGCAGGTCCTGCTTTTATCAAATTTGGCCAGTGGATTGCCACACGACCTGATCGGTTTAACAAGGATTTGTGTTTGCAGCTTTCAAAGCTTCACAGTAATGCTCCTGAGCACAGTTTTGCGTTCACCAAAAAGAGCATCGAAACTGCATTTGGTCGTAAACTCTCTGAGATATTTGAGGAATTTGATGAGGCGCCAGTGGCATCTGGGAGTATAGCTCAAGTACACCGAGCTTCCTTGAAGTTTCAGTATCCAGGACAAAAGGTGAAGTCCTCAGAAGTTGCTGTTAAAGTTAGACATCCTTGTGTTGAGGAAACGATGAAGCGAGATTTTGTGATAATTAATTTAGTGGCAAAGCTAACTACTTTTATTCCGGGGTTGAATTGGCTTAGATTGGACGAGTGTGTGCAACAGTTTAGTGTCTACATGTTGTCACAGGTTGATCTCTCAAGGGAAGCTTCTCATTTGAGTCGGTTTATATATAACTTCCGTGGATGGAAAGATGTTTCTTTTCCTAAGCCCATCTATCCGCTTATACATCCCGCTGTTTTGGTCGAGACGTATGAGCACGGAGAGAGCGTGGCTCGTTATGTCGATGGCTCAGAAGGACATGAAAGGCTTAAGGCTAAAGTAGCTCATATCGGAACTCATGCTCTCTTGAAAATGCTCCTGGTTCTGCCTCTTTTTTCACAGTGTATCTTTTTGTTCATTTCGGTAACTTATATTACTTAAAGTTGCTTTGATTCTTGTTTTTCAGGTCGACAACTTCATTCATGCTGATATGCATCCTGGGAATATTCTTGTCCGACCAAACAATACTCGAAGAGGTCTTTTCAGATCGAGGAAGCCACACATCGTTTTCCTAGATGTGGGAATGACTGCGGAACTCTCAAAAATTGACCGAGATAACCTACTCGGGTTTTTCAAGGCAGTTGCACGTAGAGACGGCAGGACTGCTGCTGAACGAACACTTAAATTATCTAAACAACAGAATTGTCCTAATCCTCAGGCCTTTATCAAGGTGAGGTATCTGCTATGTGTTTCTCTTACACCATTTAAAGTTTCTTCATTTTCGTGGTGTATAATACACACACATTTTGACAGGAAGTAGAAGATGCATTTACATTCTGGGGAACAGAGGAAGGAGATCTAGTCCATCCAGCGGATTGTATGCACGAACTATTCGAGAAAATGAGGCGTCATAGAGTTAATATTGACGGCAATGTGTCCACCGTGATGTTTACAACATTAGTTCTCGAGGTGAGTTTAAATCTCTTATCATCCTTTAGAACCACCAAGAACTCGGTTGAGTACAAAAGTACTCGCCTTTCGGATTTTTATCGAGCTATGAACTTTAACTGTCTCTTGTTGGTTTCAAGTTTGCTTCAAATCTAACAACACTGAGGTTCTGGCTTAATTTTCGGCGTTTTCAGGGTTGGCAACGGAAACTTGATCCGGGATACGATGTGATGCGTACGCTACAAACGATGCTGCTGAAAACGGATTGGATGAAATCGCTTTCTTACACGATCGATGGACTGATGGCTCCGTAGATTGAAAAGGTTCAATCTTTTATTCTTTTACCCATTTTAACTTTTTGAGAGCCACATTTTGTTTTTTGTTGCCTTAGGATGTGAAGAACGAAAACATATATTTTAGAGAAAAACAAAAGAAAAGTCGTTTTTTTTGTGTCTTCTTCTTTTCTTTTGCTTATTCTTTAATTTTTTATTGCTGGAAATTGGAGTTCTTCATCATTCTAAAAACAGAGAATTTGTATTTTGTGCGGTATATATAGGTTTTGAATTTCCTCGAAGCTCAAAGAACAAACCAGTGATAAATTATCAAAGCTCAATTTAAAAAATTGGTTAAATATCCAAATTTATTTCTAAAATTTATTCTATAAATATTTTCTCTCCAACATTAAAAAAAAAACATGCTATTTTGAGAATATGTATGGGAATATTTCAAAATGTACCACATTTAAACAAATGGCATTCAAAATGTACCACTTTCGCAAAAGCCTTTCAAAATGTACCATTTCTCAATTGCACGCGCTCGACCATGGACGAAAATACCCCTGATTGGGATAGAGAGGCTGTGTCAGAGACGGAGACAGCTTCTATCGGCGCTTCCAAAGAAGGAGCAGGGCATCAATTAATGCTGCACGGTTACATGTGGTAGATAATTGATTTTAATTAATAGAAATGATAATAGAGTAGGGTTAGGCCATTAATTGCTCTCTTAATATATCAGACAAAAGAGCTTTGTAGATCTGAAAAAACTGGAAATCTGGGGAGAAAACTCTGATGCTGGGCGAAATTGGAGTTCTGCTTGAAGAAGGGTGCATTTAAAGCTAAAGAAGGTAAAATTTATTGCAACATTTTTTGTCCACCGAAAAAGGGTAGATTTGTTTGTTTGTGATAAATGCAACCACCCACATTCTACATTCTAAGAAGGTGGTATTTATTGGAGGACGACAGGTACGGATGGACGAAGGAGTAATGATATTGGTCGGTTGCTGGGAATGCAAAGAAAGTGGAGAGTGGCGATTCAAGATGTCGGCAAAGAAATATGCAAAGTGTGTAGACGTAAGCGCAGGAGATACGATTGCTGATGTTGAGCAGAAAATTGCCGCAGCGTTTGGAGTAGACAGAAGAAGGACAAAAATGGAGCTGAGTTTTTGGTTCGAAGGAGGAGACACTGTCTACACGCAGCAAAAGATGCCGCCAGTCTCTGTTGACAGCGAGAGTTCATTGTCGAAATTCAAAAAGGTAAGAATAGAAAAGGGAGGTATGAACATGTATCTATGTTTAGAAGAAGACGATGAAGATGTGTCAAATCTCGGGGGACAAGACGATTGTCGGGGACAAGAAATGGCGGGACAGCACAGAGGTGAGAGTGAAAGCACGCAGATAATTCCTGTAACTTTTGAGGAAGAGGACTTTTTAGAGGAAATATATGCGTTTGAAGAATCTTATAAAAGGAAGGAAGCTGTGCTGCAAAAGGGAAAAGCTAAGCGGGGACGAGAAGAGGAACTGGTGGTAGCATTGGGCACGGATAGTGGAGGATGGGCATCCGAGTCGGAAGACAACATGTTAAGTGAGGGAGAAGATTCAGGCGACTATGACTTTGATAATATGAGGGAGTTGATCGATAGGGAGTACCCGCCGGATTGGGATCCTTGGAAGGATTCGAGGAAGAAAGCATTGACAATTGCAGACGGATCGCCGCGGGGACAAAATGGTAGAGTGGAGGACGATATATATTCCGGTATGGAGGACGAGATATACGAGGACGATATGTATGTGGGGGACGAAAGTGTGGATGCACAAGGAGGACAAACCCAGCCAATACTAGTCGATGTCGAGGTTAATCAGATGGACGGAAGGGAAGATACCACAACATTTGATGAATGTGAAGAGGAATGTAGAAAACTGCGGGGACAAAAGGGGACAACTTCACAAGGATGGGGACAAAGTGCAGAAATGTCACTCGAACTGACAGAATCGTTGGGTCCACCAGAGGGACAAAACCAGCCAATACTAGTCGAAGTTGAGGTAAATCAGATCGATGGAAGAGAAGATGCGACAGCATTTGTTGAAGGTGGAGAGGAAAGTGGAGACATGTCAATTCAACTGGGGCAGACCAGAATGAGGCAAGTGGACGTTACGGTGACACCGTTGGTAAGAAGAGAAGATGCCTCAACTTTTAAGGCTTTTGAGGAAGGAGAAGGACAAGGAAATTTGGAGGTGACAATGGGATGTAGTGTTGGAGAGGAAAGTGCAGAAATGGGGCAGATAAGGTCGCAACTTACAATGGGGGAGACAATGTTTACTGAACTTGTGGGGGACGATATTGTGATGGGTAGAGATGCCGCACCGTTCAGGGACAACGCAGTCGGAGTTGCGCAGGACAAGGCTAACATGAATCTTAGGCGGATATTCCAGAACAAAGGCGAGTTGCATAAGGCATTAACTGTGTACTCTATAAAAAGGCTATTCAATTTCCGAATAAAAGCTTCCGACAAGACGCGTGTAATTGCAGTATGCCATGATAAAAAATGTAATTGGAGGGTATATGCAACGTTTCACGAGAACTCGGAGAATGTGGAAATTCGAACAGCGAGTCTAAGACATAGTTGTGATGTGAAAGTGCGGTCAAAGTACGGGATGAAAGCAACACGATCGATTCTAGGCGAGTTGCTAAAAGCAAAATATGCGCATGGAAAGAAGGGACCTAGAGCCTGTGAACTACCAGAGATAGTATTGGCTGAACTAAACGTTACCATATCATACATGAAAGCTTGGAACGCGAAAGAGATGGCAATGAAAAAAGCTCGTGGCAGTGAAGAAGAAAGCTATAAGTTCTTGCAGACATATCTCCATCTGTTAAGGACAACTAATCCAGGTACGCTGTCCACAGTCCATACGGATTATACTGAGGAGGGGGAAATCCGTTTCAAATATTTATTTTTTGCGTTTGGGGCTTCAGTTGCTGGGTATAAGTATTTGCGGAAAGTAATAGTGATAGATGGAACACAGACTAAAGGAAAATACAAAAGCTGTTTAGTTGCTGCCAGTGGACAAGATGGAAATTATCAAATATTCCCATTGGCATTCGGAGTCATTGACAGTGAGAACATCGCAGAACAAAGGCGAGTTGCATAAGGCATTAACTGTGTACTCTATAAAAAGGCTATTCAATTTCCGAATAAAAGCTTCCGACAAGACGCGTGTAATTGCAGTATGCCATGATAAAAAATGTAATTGGAGGGTATATGCAACGTTTCACGAGAACTCGGAGAATGTGGAAATTCGAACAGCGAGTCTAAGACATAGTTGTGATGTGAAAGTGCGGTCAAAGTACGGGATGAAAGCAACACGATCGATTCTAGGCGAGTTGCTAAAAGCAAAATATGCGCATGGAAAGAAGGGACCTAGAGCCTGTGAACTACCAGAGATAGTATTGGCTGAACTAAACGTTACCATATCATACATGAAAGCTTGGAACGCGAAAGAGATGGCAATGAAAAAAGCTCGTGGCAGTGAAGAAGAAAGCTATAAGTTCTTGCAGACATATCTCCATCTGTTAAGGACAACTAATCCAGGTACGCTGTCCACAGTCCATACGGATTATACTGAGGAGGGGGAAATCCGTTTCAAATATTTATTTTTTGCGTTTGGGGCTTCAGTTGCTGGGTATAAGTATTTGCGGAAAGTAATAGTGATAGATGGAACACAGACTAAAGGAAAATACAAAAGCTGTTTAGTTGCTGCCAGTGGACAAGATGGAAATTATCAAATATTCCCATTGGCATTCGGAGTCATTGACAGTGAGAACATCGCAGGGTGGACGTGGTTTTTCAAACAACTGTTACAGTTTGTCCCTGATGAAGACGATCTTGTCTTCGTCTCCGACAGACATGCGGCCATATATGCTGGACTAAGGACAGTGTATCCACTTGCAAAGCACGCTTGCTGCACTGTGCATTTATTTAGGAACGTTGTCCACCATTTCAAGTGTGAGGGGCTTGCTAAAATGGTGTCCAATGCGGCTAGATCTTACACTGTGGGAGATTTGCGATATTGGTTTGAAGAAATTCAGAAAAGAGACATCAATTGTGCCAATTATTTGGTAGAGATAGGAATATCTCATTGGACACTTGCGTACTTCCCGGGAATGCGATACAATGTGATGAGCAGCAATATCTCGGAGTCCCTAAATGCTGCAATGCAAAAAGCCATAGATTTCCCGATAGTGACGATGGTAGAATTCATTAGGACTATGTTAATGCGTTGGTTTTACGAGAGAAGAGAAGCTGCAACTAGAACGAGGACAAGATGTACGCCAGAGATCGAGGAAATGCTAATAGATCACCTGAAATTAGCGACAGATTGTGCTGTCATAGCAGCAAGTGAATGGATTTATCAAGTAAACGACGGTTTTGGTATCGTTTTCACTGTGGATCTAGAGAAAAAAACATGTACTTGCAGAGTATTTGATGTGCTAATGGTGCCGTGTTGTCACGCTTTAGCCGCGGTGGGGATAAGGAACGTGGACATTTACTCCCTGATCGGGAACTATGCATTCGTGACGGAGTGGCGTAAGCTCTGGCGTGCCCATATTCTACCTCCGCCTAAGGAAAAAGACACGGAGGTCCCAAACGTAGTTAGTGAAATGGTTGTGAATCCACCAAAAACAAGAAGACCAGGCGGAAGACCAAAGACAGTACGCATACCATCGCGGGGAGAGTATCAGGTAACAAATTAAGAGTCTTAAATGAGTTTTGTCCTTCAACACAAAAAAATTAATTGTGTCCATGTATGTGTTGCAGGGCAAAGGAGGGAAGAAAAAAAAACCTAACAAATGCACCACATGTGGGAAGGATGGCCACAACAGAGCAACTTGCAAAAATCCTATCTAAGTTTTAGGGAATAATATTTCGGCGGCTTTTGGTCCATGAAGTATTGCGGAAAAGAGGGTTTATCGTTACGTAGGTTGGATAGGCCACGGGAAATTTGTTTAGTCCATGGCTTAACATCCAATTTTTTAGTCCATGGCTTAACACGGAAAGTATAACTAATATATATTTATCTTTTGGTAATTGGATGTAGTATGACATGTATGGGTATCTTTTGGCAAGCACATCTCACAACTTATCGAACAAAAACTATATATATTTATCATATACATCTTCGCGGAAGACAAAAATATATGGGAGACCATATAAAGGAAAAACAAACAAATCATAAGACCCACCAATTAACACAGAGAGGACAGGGGTTCCAAACATTACAGTTGGAACATTCTGAATATCGACGAGGGGGATGGATCAAGTAGCACGTATAGCCAGTCCAGTTGAATCTAAGTTGGGTTGGGGCAATCTTCTTAATATCGGATATCACAAGCTTGGCCACACGATCAGCGTTGCGAGAAGAGACAACTTCTTGTTTGAATAGATTCATGGCGATGATCGCATCCTTAGGTCTATTAATAGAGACAAGGTAGAGACCCTTGGTGAAAAGAATTTTGTCGGATGGATCGGGTATATGAGCGAGCATGTGCATTGCTTCTTTGATTAAACCTTCAACTGCAGCGAGCCTAATGCTCTCTAAGTAACAAGCAGCAGGATTTCCAGCCTTTACACATCGTAAAACAAAGAAGTAAATGGGTGAACCGATGAAAACATTTTGAGGATGCGCTTCAAGGAGAGCCAGAGAAGTCTCCCGCAAAACAGAAGGATCAAGTGCGAGACGCATGCCAGCGTTCCCAGAGAGAATAAGGGGACCTAAGTGTCGGTAACATGACTTACCAACAAGAAGGACAATCGATACTCTAAGATGTTTGGGAAGCTTTTGCCACAAAAACATATCAAGGAATTGGAATTAGGAATGGTTTAGCACAATGAATGTTGTTACTTACCTATATATAGATGGGATTACTAATTAATGGTTGGGGACAATGAATGCTGCTGTTAGAGATTTTGAATTAGTAGTTGGGGACAATGAATGTGGAAAAGTAAATACTAATTAAAGTGACAAGACCTATCTCATTACTAGGTGATTAACTATTCTAAGGGATAACTGTTTAGCAGTTTCGTATTGCATTGGGGGACGTGAATATACAATTTACGGTAGCTTGTCGGCATAGAAATAAGTAGATCTGGGGCGAGATATCTTGATACTTCATATTTTTACAATATATATAAGTTGTAGAATTGAGTCGAAGCTTGGAAGCGTCTCGGGTACAATAATCGCGTGTAAGCAAAAACACGTTGGGAGGACACGAACGTCTCTAAGTGATAGCTTCATATCTTAAATATAGATAACTTGTAGAATTCGGGCTACAATAAAAGAGGGACGAACATTACACGATAGTCCCCAGTAGACAACATGATGAAAAAATGGGGGACATAATAGCCGAGGGATGAAAAAAGAGCTATTAAAGCTACATATAAGTGCCAAGCACGAACGCGGCTACGGGGACAATAATCGCAAGGACGAGAACGATGATTTTAGGACACGAACGAGCGACGTCGACAATGGAACGAGGGGAGCGTTGCAAAAGACATAAATTCTGCTGAAGCAATTTAATGTCTTCCTGGTAAAGGTCCAGACGATCGCACATCAAGGCAAGATCCATGTGCTCCCCGTTAGGGGCGGTAAGTAGGAACTTAAGGTGTTCTTCCTGTTCCCTAATAGAGCACTTAACCGCAGAAATCTCCTCCATAAATGCCTCGTCCAACCATTTAACAAGATGGCGCCCAGGTCGGTCCTGAATACAAACATAGCAAATGTAACTATAGTAGATCGAATTATTGAATTTAGTAAGAGTGGGATTTAAACTTACATCTCTCTTCTCGCACTGATAAAACTGCCTGCCAGGGTTGTCCTCGGAGAGTGAATTCGCAAGTACGACCGTCCCTCCGCAGTAACAGTGACGAGGTATACCAAGAATTTCAAAAGACATTGGCCCGGGATAAACAGGTCCATAAGAACTAAGAGATTCTCGGGATGAATCGTTCGACTGGGTATAACTATGGAGGCCCATGGTTCGTGGGAAACAATTAGATGGTAGAAATTATGGAGTAGGCTGGGGGGAGTTTGAGAGAAAGGGTATAATTGTGTAGATGAAGAGATCATTAATGTGGAGAGATAAATAGAGACTGGTGCCCAAAAATCTTGACAAGAATATAATATAAATTTATTAAGCAAAAAGTTACCTTGCAAAAAGTTACCTTTTCGCTGATGTGATAACACAGAAGGAAAATCATGGGGAAGCGTAAGAGCAACTGGCTTCTACTGTTGTTATTGGGTATCTAAACGTTGACTTGTTTGTAAAAATTGCCTATCCAAAATTGCGACAGGACAACATAATATAGAATATTTTAGGAGACAGGATCTCTGTTTGCGGAAGACAACCTAAATATCCAAGTAGTTCCTAAATAGATAGCAGTTTACAAATATTTAGTTCCTAAGCATCCAAGTAGCATCCAAGAAGAGTAAATAATTATTACAAAAAGACATAAGTTCTTAAGCAGAAATATTGAAAGGGGGATCACAGCCGGAGAGGCTGAACAAACTCCTCGAAGATGTCGACAGCAAATCTCATCCGGATATTCTCCACAAGTTCTTCAGTTATGCTGTCGTGACTAATGTTTTGGAAATGAAGCTCAATGTACTTCATAGCAAGCGGGCCGCTGTCGTCTTCATGTTCGCTTTGAAAGATCTCAGGAAGACGATCAAAGGCGAACTCAGGGGGAACTTGATGATTGCAGAGAACATCTTGGGGGACAAGTGATTTGATGATAAAAGGAAGCAACACAACGAGAGGTTTCATGAGCACGCCCATCTGTTTGTCGGTTTTGGCAGCCACGTTAGGGTCAAGAACACCTATGGTACCCTCTTTCAGATCTATGACAAGCGCAGCCCAGTGGCCCCCAGACAGATGTAAAGGCGCGTAAAGAGTGTCGACATCAGAAAACCAAGCCTGTCTCGTGAATCGGCCAGGGACTATACCCCTGACGTAGTCCCGTATCTTACTGTTCCACGGCCACTCAGATTTACTTTTGGACTTCTGAAACGAGAATATCGA